GCAGTCCACCCTGTAGGAAAACATCCCTTGGGAAAGCAAGACTATGTGAAATCCAATGGAAACGTCATCACCTTATTTGAAATATGGAAATATAACTCATATATTTGTTAGATATTGTTTTCGTTTTCGCAAAATTTATGCTGCAGCGGAGCAAACGAGAGCTGAGCATGCATCCGTTGAAGCCGCAGGTTGATGAGCCGATTACTTACATGTTAAAATAGACGCACAACTCTAGGATTAGCTAATTTCGGCCTCTGGTAGAGCTAATTTAGGGTTCTTTTCCATTAAATGTTTTATACTCATTGAAAGGCCTTCATTTTCTTGTTTGAATCATCGTCATCGCTGTATTCCTTTTTTTAAATATTGATTTAAAATTTCCTACAGGCTCTTCTATACTGACTAAAAGAATTTTACTCTACTGCATAATCACAAAATGCACTTAAATCAATCTTTTTACTTGTCTGTTTCATTTCGTTTAAATAAACACTCGTATTCGTATCCACGATCTAAACACTGTTTCATTTTCGCCTATACAGACAATTGCACTCAGCGGAAATTTCTGCACTGACAAGAAATCTGCCGCTGTCAACACTATTCTTGGGAGGGGAAAATCGGTGCTGGCTGAGGCTCGTATACCGGCGAGTGTGGTTAGCGCCTGCTTGCACACTACTCCTCGTCGTCTGGTTCGTTTGGCCCAGGCAAAGTTGCATGTGGGTGGTGCTTTAGCAGGTCTCAACGGCTCTGCCGGTGGGAATGCACATGCTGCAAATCTAGTCGCCGGCTTGTTTGCTGCCACAGGTCAAGATCTGGCTCAAGTAAGGCTCATTTCGATAATACATAGTATACATATTTTTCGTTTACAAGTAGGTTTCAAGATGCCAGAAGATCATATGTGAGATGCATTTATTCAATTTCTTTTAAGATGATGAAGAACTAATAATTGAATTTTACCATGGTATTAGTTGGCCTTACGTTTCCAATGAATTTCGCATAGCCAGTCCTTCAACACATTAAATTACTGCAACTCCTATATAAGATCTAATATGACTCTCGGAACCCACCTATGAAAAAAAAATGCAGACAATTTGTATAGTAATCACAACTGATTTATCGACAATCTGGGCACATAGGTGATTTGAGAAAGACTCGGCCTTCCTTAAGATTCGCGTCTGCTCTTTGACCCAAGGGCCTTCGTGGCAGTATGGCTTAATGGTTAACGTGTCAAGACCATGTCCCGCACGATTCGAATTCCTCTAAAGCTGCTGATGAGTTTAGACGATTTTTAAACTACAATTCACCCTAAATGAGAACATTTTAAGGGGGTACGGATGTATGAATTTCAATTAAAACATGTGTTCTAC